ATTCCTGGCCTAGTCTTTGGCGGCCTCTTGTGGCAGGTCGTTCGAATAACAGTTCCTTCACAGTTCGACCTGCAGGAAGCTTAACATTAAGCACATTTTCAGAAACAAAATTAATGCACTTTTCCTACACCAAACATTAGATTCAATGAAAAGAAAGAAAATGTGAATATACCGTTATTTTCTTTATTTCTAAATTAAAGTTAATACAAAATCCATTTAATCTAGAAAATACAGCTTAGTATAACATATATGACCCAAAATGACAATGAATGCCAACAATTAGTGCACAATAATTATGTTTTTCAAATGACTACTGGCAGCAAAATTATGATCAATGCAATTTTATTACAGTAATAACATACAAATGGGCTACTAGAAACCTCAAACATTATATAAGAAATAGATACCTGAAACCTCTTGGCTTGCTGAAGGTTCCCTTGAAAATACCACAAAAACACTTAGCACCTTTGCGGTCTAATTCTGAAGTCTACTCTTAATTTTTCAGCAGACATTAAAACTTCAAAACACCTTTTAACATCCTAGCTGCCTTTATTTACTCGACAAAGCTCAAACTATGGCTATAATCCCATTTAAGATGGCTATCTGCATAACTACTTAATCTTTCCACACGTGAGAATTTCCTTGTCACGGTTAAAAAGTAATGGGATGCCATTGAAGAACTCACAGTTTTTCTTAACTCCAAAAAATCAAAAGGGGGTATTTTCCCGAAATGTTTTAAGTGACACTAATTTTTATTTAACCTTAAATATTTAAGATTATTTTCTCTTAGTAAATCTGCACTATAAACTTGCAATGGCATTCATAAAATGAGGAGTGGCGTTTGAGCTGAAGCAAAAACAACTTCGTAGATCATTCTGCACAGTAATTTAAGGGATACATTTAAAATGTTTTCCAGTACATAGAAATATAGTACAGGGCTGCAAATATTTCCCCTTAACAATTTCTACAAATACCACAATCATAAATGAACAGTCATCTTCTGAGGCTTGATGAACATGAGTATAAGGTCTTATTCATTGTCAGTGTGGATTTACTTAGCATATCACATGCATTGAGATGGCTGTTTGAGTATGCTTGTGTTTCATATCTGTAGGTACCCATTTCTGTAGGCTAGTTTTCCAGACTGTATATGGCTACATGTCCCTAAGCTGTTTGATAGCATAGAGCTAAATGGAACAATTTTAAATTTATACTGTTTGTGCGGTTGCTACATTTGTGTAATTGCATTCAAATATCAATCAATTTTTAAATAGCACACATTCTATGAATCAACAACAGATCTGCACATGTAATAGGGCTTGTTTGAGCCTCATCACAAGTACAATGCTTGGTGTGAGATGTCTTAGTAGCAAAGTGTCCAGTAAGGAGGAAGGAACAGGTGTTAGATTGTGCAGACAACTTAATTTGGCAGAAGCTGGCCTGAGATCCAGTTCAAGAAAAAGAAAATCAGTTGCCATTCTCTGCTACATTGTGCCTTTGAATAAAGCTCTAAAGATCTGTAGTTATCTGCTCTGGAACTATGTTTGCTGTTGTAATTGCTACATGACAGTACTTTTTAGCACTGTTGTTTTATTGGTGCTCTTGCTATTAAACCAGAATGGCTTTGCAAGTCTCCTTTAATATGACTAAAAATAGCCAGGCGAAATCAATTTTGTAGTCCACACAGAAAAGCAGAATGGACACCATATCCAACAGGCCAGGACTGCCATTGTGATCTCCAGCATCAAAGCTTAGCTGCAAAGCTTTTGTAGAGCTGTTGAAAGGCTAATCATCATCATCATCATCATCATCATAGTTACAGTGATGCCCAGAAATAAAAAAAGTAGAATATAATTCCTGCTATGCTGGTCAAACATAATTGGCTCATGAAAACGCACTAATCTTCCAGTTCTGGTTTTTCAGACTCTCATTTCCTTTTATGCCCACTGTGCTCTTTAAATTTAGCACCTCAAAATTGTTTTGTGCTTCCAAACAACACGTGCCGTCTCTAGGCCCAATTCAGGCATGCACATCTTCATTTACTCAAATCCTAAACAACAGTTTTGCCGTTTTCAAACAAAAATTTGCATACAACATTTATAATACAATACATACGTTTACGGAACATTCTCTTTCAAGGTTCAAACACCATTTTAAGGACTCAGTAGGTAAAGATGATCAATTGAAACAGTGTCGACAGCACAGCTCATTTAGTCATGCACCTAATTATTCCAATCAAGCACACAGACAACTACAGATACTGAGTGTCTGCAAAGCAATCCTGGAAAAAAATAGTTTCTCTAGCGTAGTGATTAGGTGACCAAACAGTCTCACCCTGCACTAGTTACAAAATCTTAGGTTATGAAGTGACATGGAGTTCATACTTTAAAGAAAAAACTGCCTCTTTTCAGAATGAGCCCTTATTTCTACACTCATTTGCTCCTGAGGAAAAGGAGAAACAGTTGGAAATGGATGGAGATGAGCAGGATGACTAGTGCTGAAGACATCACAGTTGGAAATCACTGACAGAGAGGCAATGGATCACAAACTTCTTTTAAAAAACGTAGGGATAGTAAATAATCACCTGAAGTCTCTCATTGTTTGACAACAGTCACACTGGCAAGATCGTCTTGTGCTTGTGCTCTACTGACTGTAAAAAGCTTAAGTGGGCTGCCTCAAAGTAATTATTTTTAAATCACCCGAAATATGAATATACTGCGAACTGAACATCTGAACTGTGAAATTTGTATAATGCAAAATACCTCACAGCTTGCTTAGAGTGGATCTGTGCTTGATCGATGACCTGCCCTACACACTCCATTTTATACCTTGCTACAACAGATTGCCATGCTCACACAACGTCCCTTCACACAAGTCACTCTTTTCCCCTTGGAAGTTCCTCTTGCTCCTTTTAGCCCTCAGTCTTCCTCACCGGGGCTCCTCTTCATGACGCAGGTGTCTTAGGGAGCTCTTGGTTTTCTGCTAAATGTAATTTCTGTCTGTAAACATTTTGGTGAAGGGAAATACAGGGATTTTAAAAGAAAGTACTGAGGAACGTTACCCATCCCAGGAGAGGGTAAGACCAGAGAGTGCTGGAATAAGGAAGCAGAGGTGACCATAAATTCAAGCTGTTCTACTCTAACTACACCACAAAAAGCAAACAGTGCTACAGTGAATAGATATCATTAGATACCGGTAATCTGTTTTTTATAAGGAAGTGTTTTGCAAAAATAGCTCCGACGTGCTGACATTATCTTTTGCAATATTTAAATCTGACCACTTTAAAAACAGTATAATAAGAGACCTTTTGAGTTCTACCCAGCTGCTTTGAATTAGTCAAGGTAAAATGAGCTACAGTATATGACAGAGTATGTCAAACCCCGAAGCCACTCAGTGTGGGAAGAGAAAATGTCAGGCTTTGAAGGATACATGGAGTTGCTGAGTTCCTCCAGCTGTAAGAAAAAAACCCACAATGCTGACTGATACACATTACACAACTTAAGACAGTGTCACTACAATATCTCCTAGTACAACACATAATTTAATAAAACACTCGAGTGAATTCTGAAACAATACTGCAGTAGGTGTGATCATCTCCCCCACATAATGTGACTTCTAGGAATATTTAAGACAATGATTCATCTTTTTTGGAACCTCTGCAGAATCCCTTTATAAACCAGGGCTCTGCAGTTACTAGGTATTAATTTCCTGCTCATCTGAGAGAATGGAAATCTTTTCTCTGAAAAGGAGCAGCAGCTTTTTAAAATAAACTTGTCCAAGTTCTGAGCTTCCCTTTTAAAAATAAATCAGTATCAGGCAATTTCAGTCCTTGAAGGTCAAATTATAACTAGTTTTTAATGGAAGACCTAAAAGAACTAATTTTCTGACATTGATAAGAAGGTGACTTCTTTTCCAAGTGACAGTCCTAAATTCGATTCTCTAATGAAAGCAGCGTAAGATTTTAGAGAGCTCAGTCAGCCCAGTATGGGTCTATTGCGCTCAGTGCTCAATCAGTAAATTCCTGAAAAACAGATGATTTCAGGACTGCTGGACTTTAGATCAATTCAAATTTCACAGCATCTCCCAGCTCTTCAGGTGTGAGAGTTTTAAAGAGTGGCAGATGCCTCTTTAATGGGTCTGTTGACATTAAAGTGGCTTTACCTAACCCCTGTACACTACATATTGAAACGTCCTACTTAAAACATTCATTTTAATCCTTCTAGTTCTCAGCAGGCATTTCTACATAGACGTATCCTTCAATTTCAATAAGGTATGTCTGTGGATAGACTATCACGGCTTTACAAAGCAAGCCTGATGGGGTATTTCAACCAACTTAAAACTTGACAGGTAAGAACTCATTCTAACCCTATCACAGGGTACCCATAATTCAGTTAAAGATTTCATCATCGGACATGCTGCCAGCTCCACGGCGCTTTACAGGAGAGTTTGCACCGATTGGAGGAGCTGGAGCTGGACTAAGAGTGCAACCTCACAGCAGGCACCATCTTCTGGCCCTCCTCGGAAATGCAGGTGGACCCCAGCCCACCCGTCCTTGGCAGCTCTCAGCCAAGCAGACCCGCACTTTGGACAAGCCTGACAATCTTATTCATGACGGTACGCGCCGCGGGAAAGGGGAACAGGAGTGGAAGGCTGGAGCCGCCAGCCCCCCAGCGGCATGCCCGTGCCAGACTATCTGGGAAACCTACGTTGCACAGCAGGTGCTCCAGGTTGTGGTCGGAGGCGGATTTCTTCTGGTCCTCTGAGAGCTCCTCCACGTGGCTGTCCAGGCTGAAGTGCAGGCGGGCCAGCTTCTCCTGCATCTCGCGCACGTGCTCCAGCTGCTCGAACGAGCACACCTTCCCTGGGGAAGAGAGAGAGGAGGACTCTGGACACACCTTTCCCAGCCTGGTTTCCGAGGCGATGAGCCGTCAGCCTTAACGCCGACGTGTTTGTACGTGACAGGGCAGGTAACTGGTTCTGAAGGTTGCCGGGTGCACATGATTAAATCCCAGAGGCTCTTTATACGACTTAACTGCACAAATCCATCCATTTTCTAACCACTTCATCCAGCCCAAGGTGGCCTGCAGGGAACGGGCGCCAGGCTGGGTACACCCCAGACGGGCAGACACACACACTCACACCAGTGCCAATTCTCCCCGAAGCCAAATAACCCACCAGCAGTGGGAGGAAACCGGAGCACCCCGCGAAAAAACACACGAACATGGGGAGAACATACACACTCCACGCAGACAGCACCCCAGGGTCCCAGCGCTGTGAGGCGGCAGTAATAACCCCTGCGCCGCCGCGCTGCCCTCATCTCACAGATGATCTGTGTTACGCTGCCTGCCGGACTGGGGGTTTCCTGGATCGGGCCACGTCACTCCTGACTGACGCAGACCGGCTCTCTCCAGGACACAGGGAGACACCACGGGAGGAGATCTGTGAGGCGACGGAAACGCGTCTTTAAAGCGTTCAGGTGCCCGAAGTCACTCCCCCGGCGCCGGCGTGAAGGACTCACCGAAAGCCTGCAGCTTGCCCGAGTGGAAGTCGTTGAGCAGGTTCAGGAGGCCGCCCTCCATCTCGCGCACGTCGGACACGTCAGTGAGGAAGGAGTGCTGCAGGGGGGACGACTGGGCCACTTTACCGGGGCCGGCGGCCGGGGGGGCGCGGGCCTTCTCCCTGTGCGACCTGCGGGGCACAGGGCAGATCTGGAACACAGTTCTCACTGCCGCGAGCTCGGGCCCCGGCACTAACACTCGCCGCCCTGTCCCTCGTGCCACGGAGGTTCAGGAGCCTGTCTGCACCAAACCGCTGTTCAAGGCGGGATTCTCCAGAGAACACCCCAAGGTCACAGACGCACGTATTCCACACTGGATTTGTTTGCTAAGTGTCGAGCCATCTCGCCAACAACTTCCTAGGATCATTGATGATTTGATAAGCTTTTAAATTTAGATATTATTTATAGCAGGTGGCTGCGTCAGCATGCGCAGGCTGCAAAGGCACAACTAAAGGTTTATTCCCTGCTGAAAAGAGAAGAAAAGAAACACAATGTTTCTTCGGGTCAACCTGGAGAAGGTGAAGGTGAATAACCCTTTATGATTTATAGTTTGGTTTTCTTCTCTCTTCTCTTTTCAGCATAGAATAAACCCTAACTTGTTTCTGTGCAGCCTACACATGCTGAAATAGCTCCCTACTTGAACTATTTGTAGTTTAGTACTTTTATACCTAAATAACTGCACATTCTTCATTCAGGTACAAGAGATATCTTTCTGCCACTGTTCATACCATAGATGTGGGTGCGTACACAATTTCAATTTTCACACACTACAAATTCGTCTGTGAGGAAAACCTCAAGAGGAATGAGAGGTAGATGCGTTTGAAGTGGTTTTTGAAGATGGAGATATCTGGCTTAACCTACTCAGCCGCAGGGCGAGGGGGGCCCTCATGCAGACCGAGGGGTGAACCAAGAGGGAGCTGCGCGGGGGGAGAGGGCCTGAAGGAGGGGTGTGCGAGACACGGGAAATTGGTGTATACATAACTAACGAGAAATCGAGACGTCAGTAACAATTTCAATCTAGAACAGTGGGGCGAAGGTGGCTTGGCTGTCATCATCATCACCCTCCCGAACTGCAGTCAAGACCTCCCAACTCTAAACTCTGAAATCTCCGGCTGGGTCCAGGCACATCTCCAGCAGTTCCTCCCGCTCTCTCCAAAGGCTCCAGCGGGGCTCAGCACAGCCCCGCGTCCCGGCCGGCCGGCACACTGACCTCTTGAACTTGCCCCGCGGTCTGGGCGAGGGCGGCTGCGGCAGGCCCAGGGAGAAGGTGGCGCTCTTGCTGGCGGGCACGGAGAGCTTGCGGGGGTTGGCGGGAGGCGGCGGGGGGGGCTGCACCAGGGACACCTTGGGGCTCCTCTTCTTCCTCTTGTCCTCCATCTGCGGGCAGAGAGGAGGCCTGCACTGGAGAAGGGGGCTCAGTCACTGCATGGGGGCAGGATCTCGGCTTGGGGGGAGGGCGGGGGCGTGACACGCAAAACAGAAGAAAGGAAACACAATGTTTCGGCTGTGGAGCCGATGGAACGTTGCGTTTCTTTTCTTCCCTTTTCATCAAGGAATAAACCTTTACTTGTTCCTTTGCAGCCTGCGCATGCTGACGCAGCTACCCACCTGAACTACTTCAGCCTGTCAACAGGAAGAAACTGGGCAGCGACTGGGATTCGGACCCATGGTCGGCCACACCACCCTCCCAGCAAACTGGGAGGAATACAATCCTGAAGGAATTTTCCCCCCAGCACACTGTTTACTAAGCCTAGTAAACAACCATCCATCCAGTTTTGAACTGCTTCTCCTGATTCAGGCTTGCGAGCAAGCCAGAGACAGTCCCAGCAAGCAACGGGCGCGAGGCAGGACACACCCTGGAGGGGACGGTAGTCCATCACAGGACACACAGACACATGCTCACTCCCAGAAAGAAGCCAATTAACCCACCAGCATGTCATTGGACTGTGGGAGGGAAACCCACGTAAACATGCTGAGAACATGCAAACTCCACGCAGACAGCACCCCAGGAAGTGAACCCAGGGCTCCTGCGCTGTGGGGCAGCAATGCTGACCTCTGCACCACTGTGCTGCCCCATCTCGTGCACCCTGGTCAAAAAGAGTGCTGTGGGCACACTTTTTTTCAAGAGTTCAAAGTATATGTTGACCATCAAGTCTTAACACACAAAAACATCAACTTTAGCAGTATAAGGTTTCACCCTCACACTCTTACTTTGTACTTTTCATGATTTGAAGCGCAAAACAAGCATTTTATATGGATAACTGTCTGCATGTGTATTTTATGCCAAGTGCAAGTATTAAATGAGATCATGATGTGCTGATGTTAATGCGGGATATGTCTGCCGGGTCTTTAGCTGTGCGGAAGATTGTGAGGGTGTCACCGAGTTCAAATAATAAGCTCTATTATTATGTTCATAAAAAATCTTCTGATCTCCTCAAACGACTTGCGAATCAAAGGAAAGTTAATTTTAAAAAATCATATGGCCCTAACCCTAACAATATACTTTTGATTAATCTATCTCCTGATTTTTAAATTGAATTAATATAAGCAGTGTTGGAGATTATAAACGATGCCTCGCATGGAGCCTGTAGCTCTAAAGGGTACAAACAGATCTGGTCTATATAAGCAAAACGTAAAAACAACACGAGCAGTCGCTTCAGTAAATCGATGTTGAAACCTGAGTAGAACTACATTTTAAACCTCAAATATAGTCGAGATCGGGCCTCAGATCTGTCCCTTTAAGCATGGTGCACAGTCTGGTTTCTCTCCGATTCAATTCACTAACAATGAACCTGATTCGTATGTGGGCCAATTGTGTGGAGTGAAATCAAAACACATTAAAAGCGTCACTTTTACGACCAATTAACACTCACAATTTACAGTTTACAATTTACAGCTCCTTCATATTACAATAGGAATTAATATTCTATCCGTTTGTTAATGAAAAAAAAACGATTTTCAATAACAATAAGCACCACTGCATGCCTTTCTGAATTATAAAAAATAGTTTATTTTACAATAGCAATGGCAGTCGACCACATTTCCATTATTTTTATGCTCGTAAAATGTATTTCCTCACAAAGACCGCAGAAATTACGAAAATAATAACCGCAGCGTGTAAAGCTATTTATAGCTGCATAATTCCTTTGAGCACTATCAATATTGAGGCTTTAAACTAAGAAAAAGGTTATCTGGACTATCCTTTTAGCTGAAATGAGAAATTGGGATTCATAAAATGCAACATTTTAAGAAACTGAACCACTCAAATGTGCAAATCAGTCTGGTACCGTCTGGATGTTACTGAAGTCGCGTAAATAATGATGATGATAACACGCTCTGAAAGACCGCCAGCAAAGCTGTCCGGTCACATCAGACAAATTCTCTCAAGCAGCGGACGGAAATGCTTCGCTCCTTACCGTAAAGACGGGCGCAGGAATAAAATCAGGGAACTGAGGCGGTCTCGCTCGGACGAGGCTTTATATAATCTGACGTTAGAGTCTGAAATTCCGACCCCAATTCAACGCGCAATTTGCGGACACGCCGAGCCGCTCATTCGGATCTGAGCCCGAACAAAACCCCAGCGCCCGGCGTCAGGGAAAGGTCTCGTTTGCATTTAAAGAGACAACGCACCGCGTCTCCTTCCCCGCGTCGCCACCTTCAAATCCCCAGAATAAAGCAGAACAAACGCGTCTGAGTTCACATCTCCGCGGAGGAGCCGCGGTGAACACGTTTCTGATCAATAATGAGAGAAATCCCAATTGAACTAGATCGAAAGATTAAGTAGCACGGAGAGAGAGAGAGAGTTTTCCCCGGAGAGCCCTCAGGGAGAAAAGCAGAATCAAAATAACCCGTGCCCCCGGACAGCATGTAATCCAGTTCCACGGCCTCTTTCGAAAGTGCCTTTAGGAATAAAGGCCTGTGAGAAACGCAGTCGAGCATTCCTGTGCCCGGAGGAGAAAAAAACCCCGAATCTCGGCGGATGTACAGCTACACAGCGGGACCTCTTCTTTTTATGCAGGCTGGCGGTGCCCCAGCAGGTGTGTGCCAAGCGCAGCCTCGTCGCCTGGCACCGCGGAAGGCACACGCCGGGTGAATGCAGATGAAGCTGACGGTTCTCCCGGCGGAGCGGTTTGGGGAGGTTTGCAGGTGAAAACGGAGGAAAAACGTTGACACACCCCTGGCACCTTGTTTTTCCGCTCTTCTTGGCTTATAAGCAATCCGCGCATCTTCTATTACGGCGGCGCACAGTCAAAGGCAGTCTTCTGTACCCAATGATCCCCGTCTGAAGAAATAACACTGGGATCATTCTTCCATACTGAAGAAGCAGCACCGAAGTGTCCCGACTTCAAAGTCGTTCTTTTCTCGTCTTCCATAGTTAAACCCTTTCCACAGGATGCACCCCTCGCACAGAGGAATGAGCGTGAAGATAATTTCTTGAACACACCCCATGGGTATACCTCGCGTACTGTAGGATACGCGCACGGACAGAAAACCGGGACAGCGTGACCAAGATGTTTACTTGATTAACTTCTTTTCCTTTATTACTAAATAAATGTTTACAGACAGTATGAAAATGACCAAGGAGTAACATGTAACACACAAAAACAATTTTACAAAGTGTGTGTGTGTGTAATGCGATCTTTGGTACCTGATTTAAGCAAAATTAGACGTGCTAACCCTATAAGTACGATAAACAGTAAAGAAAAAAACATTCCATAATACAGTACAATGACAGTGACACACATTCAAAGGCGTGTTGCCCATGTGTAAAGACCTGCTTTTTAAGATTCTGCAGCATATACTGTGGATGTGGAAGGCTTAACTCATAGTAAAGAAGATTCAAGTTGCCTGTAACCAGTTAAAGCCCTTACAACTTTCCACCCAGGCACAACCGAAAAAAAAAAACATCACACAGATGGGGGAATATTGTTTTTTTAACAAGAGCATTGTGACCCATCGGGTATTTTTTAATTACCGTGTAAAATCTTAGTGTCTCATTCTGAAAAATACCCGAGCAGTGCACTACATTCCTATGACCTTGTCATCAGATGATCATGACAGAACATGGGCTTATGTCAAAGATCTCCACTGAACTGGTCTTGTTCCATGGAATGTCTTAGCTCTTAGGACTGACCAGCTTATGAGGCAGAATTCGTTTGCTTCACTATGACTTCTCTCTTAGGAATAAAATCAAGGCGAAGAAAGATTCTAGCTCCATAGTCCAGCCCAAACGTTTGTGTAAATCTGGTTACCTGCACTTGAACCTGTTACTTAACATTCACGATGGACGCGAGTCGTGTATTTTCCAATTAACAATCTGCAGATCACAAAACAATCACAACTAAATTAAAGGAAACTTTCTATCAATTCCGTGGAGTCTGTGCATTTTTGAGAGTGATTCAGATGAACTGCTGTTAAAGGATTTGAGTAAGTAGGGAACCTTTGTTACAACACAAGCGCTGTGTAAAAGAAGTGTGAACTTAGTTAAATGCTTTGCATTACTCATTGCAAAGAGAGATGGCGATTGCATAGTAAAACCAGGAACGGTCTGTGTTTCTCTTCCTTTTTATTGTGTCCAACCTGAAACGTGAGTCTTAACAAAAAGAGTACAAAATTTGAGAAAAGGTAAAGATTAGCAGGGGCAGATCTTATTAGCTATCTGCTTGGGTCAGCATGGCATGAAAACGATATAACCAAAGGTTAACAATTCTCCTTCCTGGCACACCTTGTTAACATTTTCTGCAATCAAGGAAAATGATTAAAAACAAGGAGTTCCACATTCAAGATTAGCCAATGAACATTCAAGAAGTGGCCTGAGCAGTGATAGTTAGTTACTGTCATTCACAAGCATCTGTGACTCCCCCAAAGCCCCATAGAACCATTTAGAGCAAGTCAGTTAAAAACACTGGAATTGTGAACTTGTTAAACCTAATAGTTTCACTGCTTCTTCCTGCAGGAGTTTTTCCTAAAAGCTTTAAACTCTTTATTTGAACTATAAAAATTAGTTTCTATTCTGTCTTGCTACTCTGGAATGTTGCTAATGTTCTTCTGAAACAGTAGTGGGAGTACACCAAAAAGTATACCACAATTTTAAAGGTAGTAATACATATTCCAAAACTCTACTGAAATCATATAAATAATATTAATAAGGATAATCCCCACGAGATCTTCATGAATGCGACTGCAGTGTTGTTCCAGAAGTAAAACTAGTCTTACGAAAGGGGACATTCTGAAAACACAGCTGAAGCCCAGGGCCAGGAGCTCTGCGGGGCTGATTATATGAAAAACCTAAGTGTTTTTAAAAACAAAAAGTAAAAAACAGAATGGTCTTTTTAAAGTCTGTGATATTATTTCACACGTTTCAATGATATGCTGATAGTTCCCTGAATCTGAAAATCCTCACCGAGTTTCAAGAACTGTTGAAGTCCCTCAAGAACCCTGACTTATCGAGGTTATGGGTCCTGCCCCAGAGATATCTGTGATTCTTTGTAAAAAAGAAAAACTTCCATTAAACCCCAAACCACACCATGCACCTTTGAGGAAACACATTAAGGCAGAAGATTTATAGTTCTGACTGTAGCACTCAGGGTGCCTTCAGCTGGCGTGCTGAGCTAATGTCGTCAGGTATCTGAGAACACTTTGCTGAAGCCCAAGATTTGCTTAAACTAAAATGACAAAGACCATGAAGAGATGCATTTGGAGCAGGAAGGCATTCTGTTCCTAATAAGGGGAAAACGTTAGCGCTGGAGCAACAGGAACGTGATGGAAAACCTCACTGCAAAGGCGTGTTAAATGCTATGCTCCATGTTTTTTTTTTTTACAAAGGCAGCATTGTCACCCAATGTTTGTGTCTGCAAGGAATGTGTGTATACAGTATGCACTATATATATAAAAAATAATAGTAAGATCTTTTGTGAAGGAATAATCTTTCCTGGCCAGATAAGGTACGAGCCTCAAAGATTAGTATCACCCAAAACAAAATTGCACAAATACTAGACCAGGAAATGCGTTCAGTGGGAAACCCGAGAGTGCAGCAGTGTGGGGCTATGCCTGGGAGGCCTGTGCGTTTGACTCCACGGCTGTGTCTGCAGTGCACTGACAGGGATCGGAGCAGGCCTGCGCGCGGTCTGGAGGAGTCCCTGGGTCAGGGATGTCCGGGAAGTCTCCGCTACCTTCGTCGCAGTCCGCCGCCGGCGCGGGCGCCTCCCCCTGCTGGCTCAGGCTCTGCACCTTCCTGCTCAGCTCATTGCGCTCGATCTGCAGGGCTCGGCACAGCTTCTCCAGGCGCTGCACTTTCACCTGCAGGCTCTCGAACTCTTTGTCCCGCAGAGTTTTCTGAAGGGGAGCGAAAACGTCTGTCACAGTGCGGCTCAGACACAAACTGAAGTGTTGCACAAAAGCAACACTGTACCGCAATTTTTGCTCTTCAGAGCAAGGACAGTAGCTCACGTTTCCGACGCATACAATACTAGCAACAAGTATAGCACTGAAACAGCCGCTCTTGGTGGCTGATGTGATTCACACCCATTTTCCACTGCTCCAGTGAGAACACTCCTAACAGACTCAATCGTTCCTCTAGCCCCTGCATGGAAAGGATTAAAAATGCAAGTGCCCAGTATAATTCCTATTTCTAGTTGCTATACCTAATTTTATAGTGGAATATTGTCATTCATTAGGACTTCAGTTATTTTTGAATGTTTAGGTATTTTAAAAGTCTGTAGGAGTGAAACAGACATCATGGTGGTGCTGCAGTTAACGTTACTGCCTCACAGCTCTTGAGTCTCAGGTTTGATGGGCATGGTGGGCATGGGTGGACATGGACATGCGTGTTCTTCCCTGTAGTCATGTGGGTCTTTGCCAGGTGGTCTGGTTTCCTCCCATAATTCAAAGACACAGTATATGTTAAACACCAATTCTTGTCAAATGAAGAAAATAAACCTGCTTAATAAAATTTCAGCCCAGTACTTCACATTTACCTCCTCAGCCATCTCCAGCAGGGCCTTGTTGCTGCTCTCCCATCTGGAGCGGTACATGGTGGTCTCTTTCTCCAGCTTCTTTATCTTCTTCGTCATCTAAAAGGAGGTGAGCAGATAGCAACAGATTAGGTTTGCTGGCAGAGTTGACATTTTATTCTTTTTAAAAAAATACCCCGACAAAAGTACCTTTTCCATCTCTTGCTTAAATGTTGTGAACACTTCGTTGCTTTTAGAGAGCGTGTTTTGGAACTCTTCAAATTTCTCAGTGTACAGTGACAACTGTGGAATGACAGGAAAGAAAAAAATAGTAAGCATGCTTTCAACACATAGCACGTGAATAGAAAAACGTCTTAAAAAAGTCTAACGTAGCTCAGTTCAGTATGGAACCTACAGAATGTTGGTAACTTGGCAAATGCATATTATACACCTTTAACACAACTGTCATCCTTTGTTTTTCAAGAACACCCATAAGTTTTAATGACCTGTTCCTTAAGTTAATAATAATCATTCCCCTTGTATATCACCTTTCTGGACACTCCACTCAAGGTGCTTTACAGTAATGGGGACTCTCCTCCACCACCACCAGTGTGCAGCCCCACCTGGATGATGCACCAGTCTGCTCACCAAACACCAGCTCTCAGTGGGGAGGAGAACAGAGCGATGAGGCAAATTCAGAGATGGGGAATGTTAGCCATGATTGCTAAAGGCCAGGGGGAGAATTTGGCCAGGACACTGGGGAAACACCCTGGAATTTTTAACAACCACAGAGAGTCAGGACCTTGGTTTTACATCTCATCCAAAAGACAGCAAAGTTACCTGTTGCTTAAGGTGAACCTCTTGTTGCTTCATCAGTTCACACATCCTCTGGGACTCCACTGCCTCTTTCAGAAGCTGGGAAAAACCCAAAACATGGAGGCATGTTACAACACAGGAAAAATGCTCTAACAAAGCAAGTAATCTACCGATACAGCACAACTATGGAGTTACAAACAACTTAATACTGTAACTGGGCGGTGCAGTGGCACTGTGGCTAAGGATCTGCACCTGTGGCTGGAAGGTTTCCGGTTTGTATCCCATGGCCGGCAGAGGAATCCTACTCCGTTGGGCCCCTGAGCAAGACCCTTAACTCCAACTGTTCCAGGGGTGCTGTATAAATGGCTCTGACCCCATGTCTGTGTGCCTCATGGAGAGCAAGTTGGGGTATGCAAAAAGAAATTCCTAATACAAGAAATTGTATATGGCCAATAAAGTGATCCTATCCTATCTACCTCATAACGGAGGTTGTTCTTACATTGTTTTCAGAAAAACACTGTTGTTGTGCTTTCACAAATCTTTTTTAACCGATAACTGACAACTCTCATTATCATGGACTGAAAAGATTTACATCTTTATTATGCAGTAGAAATTGCTTAACCTAACCACAGAACAGATCCATCTTTCTTAGCTTGTCAGATTATGTTACTAATTCTCCCCTTAATTGTTCGTACAGAAGTTTATTTATAATGAACGTGTAGTCTACACCAGCGGTATGTCTATTTCAAGGCCTCCTCCTTTTCTGAAATAAGTTTTTCTTTCGCTGTGCTATCTTAGTATTTTGTTATCCATGAAAAAAACCCTCTGTTTGACACCATTGCCAAACTTTCTTACAAAAAAATCTGGTTCAATACAATGCACTAAACCTTAAGAACAAAGAATCCAGCCTCTCATAACTTTGTTTTTTTTTCACTACTGTCAGTTTATATAGTTCAGGCTTTAAGTGCACGATGCACTTGTCTACATGGTTTCTTTCTTTCAATAAAGTTTTTACTTTACGACAAAACCTTCAAGGTCTTAATCCTAACATTTTATAGTCTTGGTACTTTTTTTAATCAACAGCCTAGAAGTCCTTAATTATAACGCCTTCTGGCATTAATCTGGCAAGAAAACGTAACAAGCCAATCAAGAAGAGTGTATAGTGCTTCACGCATACTGTGAATACCACTCATCTGAAATGAGCATCAAGCCCCATTGGAACTGTCTATGGTATTTCTACATTTTCTTAGTTTTACTAGTTGCCTGTGTTACTCTTATCTTGCAATGCCTTGGTCTCCTACAGTTTTGCATCATGGTAGAACAATTTTGTGTGCTTCGTTATTCTTTTAGAGTCCTGCTTCACAAATCGATCTCCTTTCAGTGTTTTGTGAGCCCCGAGAGGTCTGACCGAGGGGGAGAGCCCTTACAAAATCCTTCTCTCTCTGATGCCTGTCCTCGGACTCCTTCAGGAGCTCCTGCGCTTGCTGCAGTTTGGCATCAACCAGCTGCTGCTGCAGGTCCTTGTGCTTGAACACCTTGTCGATGTGCTGCAAGACAGACAAGCAAGCTACAGTACGCTCAGGATACGCCAAACAAACCCCGCCTACAACGTGCACAAGTCAGAGCCTATTCACATCGCTAGGTAGGAATATACCTACATACCTGGGATCCGCAGATAACCCTTTACACAGTGGAATTTCACAGACAGCAGCGTTACTCAAGACTTTAACCCGAGACACATTGCAATATGGCACACTAACATTAGATGGAAAGCAATCTCATACTGGACATAGAGAAATAACATGCAAGTATCTGGTTTCTCAGTTTTTGATGAGATCGATTAGTTGACAACCCTAAATGTTTTGCAGAAGGCCATTTCTAAGGCAGTCTTCACTTGCACCGCGACAGCGATCCTGGGAGACGGCGCCATGGCGTTCATGCCCACCTCCTCCCGCAGCTCGTACTGCTCGATCAGCTTCTTCAGCTTCTCGGCCAGCTCCATGTTCTCCTGCCGCAGGCTGGCGTTGCGCTCGTTGTGCTGCTCCATCTGCACCTGGATGTCGTTCAGGGTCACCTGGAAGTGCGAGGTCACCTCCTTCCTCTTCTCCTCCTCCACGCGGGCGCGCTGCATCCCATCCTCCTGCAGGAGGGGACCGGGAATTAAATCACAATCCGAAGCCTCCCTGGCAGACTCCAACCACACATGAGGGCACAGCCTTGGGATCCCGCCGAGAAACATTCTGATGCTTTTATTCCGAGTTCACATTTTTACCTTTACATGGCACAAAATAACAGGCACCAATCACGCCCCTATTGGCCTTTGTCTCTTCACAACATGAATCTTTAGGGTTTTTTTAATCATCAGCATTATATGCCACCTTTTACAATAAACACGATGCAGATCTTCTGCAATAAGAGTCTCTTTTAGTACAGATTCACATTTTCCTGATAAAGGTCCATTGAAAATCAAGACAAACAGTAAAGAAGGATCTAGAATAACATTAGTGAAGACCAGGACTGATGTGGCGACTGAAGACTGGGCTGAGGCCTAGGACTCTCTGGTCTGTCTGGAGCAGCAGCGTGCGTAGCGAGGACAGTGGCAGCTCACCTTCAGTGTGCGGTTGTGCCTCTGCAGCTCCCGGCACAGGCTCTCCAGCTTGCTGCGGGCCAGGATGGCTTTGCTGTGCTCGTTCCTCAGGTGGTCCTTCTCCTGGATCAGCTGGGTTTGCTTCTTCTGCAGCGCTCTCATCTGCTTCTGCGAGTTCCTGTGTTCTTCCAGCTAGAAGAGGAAGAATGACCTGTGAGCACTTGGAAAAAATCTCACCCCTTGAGTCCTTACACCTCTCGGGTTCACGACACTCACCAGCTCGGCATATTTCTTGCAGAGCGCAGCCAGTTTCTCCTCTGGGGTGCTGAGGGTGTTCAGGGTCTGCATCAGCAGCGTGATCTCCTTTCCTGAAGGACAAAGGAAGTGCACAACTTGAGCAGGACCACTGACATTACCGAAGACAGGCGGGTGGTCATGTAGGTTCCAAACCACATGTGCTGGACAATGTCTCGTCTTTGTTCCCCCCAGTTCAATCTAAACTATTTCAACTGAGTCTAAAGCCGCAGGAGAACTGCCCCACTGCTCCAAAGTGCAGTGACCAGCGAGTGAAAAGTCTTACCGAGGCCCTTAACCTTTTTCTTCTCCTGCGGTTTCTTCTGGTCTTTGTCGGCGACGTCCCCGTTGAGCTTGGGCTCCTCCGTCTTGCCGTCTTCCTTCTCCGCCAGGCCGTTGACCACCAGGCAGTCCAAGTCGGGCTCGCCATTGCGGGGCGACTCGCTCCTGCCCTCTGCTGGCTCCGGCGGCGCCCCGTCCTCCCCGCTGTCCTCCTGGCAGTACGTGTTCAGGATGTCCTCCAGCTGCCGGCTCAGCTCCTCCGACACGTCGCGGGACACCGCTGTGGAGGGCGGGACGCGCACCGTCAGCGCGGCGCCGACACCAGTAACGGGGAGTAACGGCTGCAACTACTGAGGCAGACACTCTCGTCTAAGCCGCTCAAGCTAACCTCACTTAGAGACACGGTCTAACAGTTCTAGGTTTCAGATCGAAATGTTTTAAGATGCTACATTTGTATCTGACGGACATTTGCAGGTCCCATCAGGACACAGGAGAGCATGGAAGGAGTGTAAGCACTCTGAATGGTGGTACGTCTAAGTAACGCTGGCACATAAAAAGATAGAAGCATCATCACCTTAAGACCTGAGGAATAAGGGTTTAATTGGAATAATAACTCTTCTAATAGTTCACCAACCACAAGGGATCCTAAGGCTGTTCATGACAAAGAAATCTAAAATAACAGCTACATTGTGGTCACCTCTAACAGGGACTTGAGAGCTCTTTCCAGAGAATGTCAAGCCTTTCACCAGTGGGGCCTTTAAGTCATCTTTGACCTTCAGGACAAGAAGCAAACATCACATATGGACATTCTGGATTGTCATTTCATCTGTTTCCTAGTGCCTCGGCAAGGTTTTGATATTTGTTCCCTGCTGGGGAGCTGCAATACTCTAAGGACACTGCATTCGTAAAGCCTGCGATTTGACGAGATGTGCAATGAAAAACATCTTTTACCTATCGCCGGAATAAAAAAATAGATTCATGTTCACTGGTGATTGAAGATGTTTAAAGCCCCCATCAGTTTGCTATTTCTGGTAGCTCCAACGCAAGCCTGGACTGCAATCATGTGAGCTACCCTAGCAGGGACCAAACCTATCCCCCCACTGGCTGTTAGACTGTCTCCACTTTATTCAACTTCAATTTCTTCTGTCCTGAACTTCAGCCAAGACCAGGACTAGCTGCTTAAATGGTTTCCCACAAGACTAAGATGTTGGGGTGGTAGGTTCTGTTAGAAGACATACAGTGTGAAGTAGTGTATGATCTCCGGGTTATTTCTCTGCAGCGCTCCACAGATGCGAGAGCAGATTCCGACTTACCCCCATTCTTGGCCTGCGTCTCCGGAGGCGGAGTGTCAGGCTGCTGGTTGTCCGCAGACTCCTGGCTGCCAGCGCGCTCCAGAGCCGCCCCTTCCCCTTCTCCGGGCTGAGCCCCACTGCCCCCGCACAGCTGCTCGGGCCCTTCACTGTCCTGCTTCTTCATCACGGCGGCTGCCAAGAGGAAGGGCAAGGCATGATGGCTGGAGCTCTGCAGTGGCCGCCGTTTTCACTAGACGCTGCTGTTGCTGCGGTTACACTGCAACTGAGGTGGTGATGATCACTACCCATGCCTGACAGTGACCTCTAAAAAGCCAGAAATTCCAATGGCTTACACGTCATGTATGCAAGGGATTACCTTTTCAATTTTTAATTTCAAGGAAAAGGCTCGGGCGGCACATTGGCGCAGTGGTTAGTGCTACTGCCTCTCAATGCTGGGGCCCTGGGCCCAGTACCGGACCTGAGCTGCTATGTTCACAGAGTTTGTACGTTCTCCCTGTGTTTGTGTGGGCTTCCTCCCACAGTCCAAAGACATGCTGGCGGGGTAACTGGGCTCTGGGAAAACTGGCCCAGATGTGAGTGTGTGCGTTGGTATCCGTGTGTGCCCTGCGACGGACATGGATGGATTTCAAAGACAACATTTCCTCCTCTCAGAGCAGAAGAGAAAGAACAACGAAATCGTGAAACAGACACAGAGCTTCTTCTGAGCGCGCACCCCTGCTCCCTTCGACACCCTTCAGGCGACAGGCACACGTATCCTGTCATGAGCTACGAACCCTATTAAGAAATTCATTTCTCTTGCGTGATTTTACATCATTCCAGGGGATGGATCCCCAAATTAAGCAAGGAGCACGTTTAGAAATGCGCACACATTTCCTGGATTTCGCAGAACCAAACCAAGATGAAGCCAAACGTGAGAAACAGGAGACAGTGCAACAACTGACTCGGTCTGTTACTTCAGTGACACGTTTCCCACGATTAGCCGTTTCTTTGAAGCCACTTACACCGATTTCAAAACCAGCCTCTACAATATTATTCCGGATCAAGGCTCCAACAGGACTGCAGTAAGACCCCGATACGCCTGCGTACCTACACTAAAATTGACATGAGATTCCGTTGTGACAACGTTATTTTTTGTTTTGGAAATCACTGAACTTCAGTGGCTCCAACCGCCTGAAGCCAGCCCTACGACACTTAAGTGTCTTATTAGTATCGGACATTGTTTTATTTTCGCTTCGTGTATCAATCCAAAGTTTCTGTTAACCCCTCAACAAATAGAATCATTACTTTAAAACATGCGTAGGGTTGTCCATGATAACGCATTTGAACAGCATCACGTAGGTGGGACAACACGATTAAAAAAGGCAAATCAAGTTACATTTGGCCGACTGTAATAGACAGTCCCCTTTAAAACCAACAGTGATACAAAACTAGTAACAGACTTTCTTAAGCAAAAAAAGGGGTGAGCTAAACTTAAATCTCTTTAGAATATAATCGAACAAAAAATCCATGTGGATCACAGCTAACGACAAAAGTCACTACGATATCAGCAAAATAGGATTACTGAAAAGAACCGAATAATTCTTCATCACGTTCACTAGCTACTCACAACTTCACGTTATCGCCTATACATACAAAACACAGTTTCGTAATTCCAGTCTTGCTAAAAAAAACTAGGCATTTTGTTATTTCTACGACACTTACCACTGAAATAATATCTGTATCGTCTCAAACGAGCAAATAAAACACTTCAACACTCTGCTTTCCTGCCAACTGACACACCGGAAATACCGGTGAATTGGTACATTCTGATTGGCGCCGCCGTAAGCGGATGTGCAAGATAAAAGGAAAAGACGTTGGGGGAAAGTTGGAGAGGGTGGGCCGGAGTTTCGCAATGCTTCATGGTCGATGTAGTTTCTTCCTGCTTCTAGAGGACTTCAATCACCACAATGCGCTTGGAAAAATAAACTTTCTGTTTCCCATAACCGTGACACAAAAAGCTGTTGGTAAAAAGCGAAACTTACTCAGATAAAACAATTATGGCACTCCTAAAGCTAACAAATTCGCCCCCGGACACAAAAGACAATTCTAAATTATTGTCCAGATCTAAATAAATAATGATAACCGCTCATACTCTATTATTGGCACCTGTTAAGGTCTGTGATATATTTTATGATTTGAGCATAATACTTTAAGCAGTGATACCAGCGTGTAATGTTAAAATAAACCTTTAAGGTAGTGGTAGTATATAGCCATAAATGAAACTTTTTTTTTACTACTTTAGGTAGGGTTTCCATTTGAACGTTCAAAAGAGAGGCCACTCTGTCGACGGATGACAGTGGTATTTGTAGCAGGGTCTATTAAAGTATCTAAGGAAAAAAATCTCTGTTTTGAAAATTCCTCCTGGACAGATAATTAAGAACTACAGGAGTGGACACGTCTGGAAAAAGACGTCTGTATGGTAACCCCACTTCATGGGAATCCTAACAAAATAATACATTTTATACGTGTACATGTATTATTATACAATAATACGTGTTTTTTCACACATTTGAAAATTTCCAATGGTTCTCTGCAGCCTTGAAGAGTTTTTTTTCCTGCTTTCTGATGTATTTACGCTTGGATTTTATATTTATCGATTTTTTTTTAACAGCTTTATCCAGTGCTTGGTCACGGAGAAGCCAGAGCCTATCCTGACAAGTGCCTGGGGTCCAAGCAGAGTATTCCGTAGGTGGGACACCAGTCCCTGGCAGGGCACACACACACACAGTCACACTCACGGCAGGGCCAACTTTCCCAGAGGTCAGTCAACTTACCAGTATGTGTTTGACTGCAGAAGATTGCCACAGGGACTGTGGGAGCAAACTGGGAGAACCTGGAGGATCCCCACAAGAAATGGGGGGGGAACATGCAAACTCCACTCACATGGCACACAGAGAATTGAACCCAGGGCCCCAGTGCAGTCGGTATCTTTGACCCAAACGCATCCTCGCCTCGCAGAGGCTGCCAGACTGGAATATTCCAGCAAGGACTGCTCCATTACGGAGGGGGTGTGACCCTGATCCAAGATCCTGATCTGCAACCCACATCTTTGCATGTGGGCGTCCTCTGGGTACCTCATTTTCAGGATGGACACGGTGTTTGGCATGTAATGTCTCAGCACTGCACTAATGCTGTTTGTGACATCTGAAGGAGATTGGAGATTGTCTCAGTAAAACGTCACATCCCAGTCTGAAGCTTGATCACGCTCTGCATGAGACTATCATACGGCAACACACATGTTCCTGTTAGGAAGCAATATGTCATCTTACTGCAGAGGTGCCACAAGTTTCAGTTGAATCAATGGGGCCTATACACTGGCCATGCAGCTCAAAGAAGTCTTGAGGCTAATCATAAGACTTTATTGATCCCAAAGGGAAATTGAGGGATCAGATTAATCAATTAAATTAAGATCAGACAAGATTACTTTATTAGCCATATACAATTTCTTGAATTAGGAATTGCTCTTTTCGCATACCCCAGCTTGCTCTCCATAGGACACAGGCACACAGACAGAGAGAGAGAAGCTTGGGGTCAGCCATTTAGACAGCACCCCTGGAGCAGTTGGGGTTAAGGGCATTGCTCAAGGGCCCAATGGATTAGGATTCCTCTGGCGGCCGTGGGATTTGAACTGGCTACCTTCTAGCCACAGAGCCACCGCCCCGCCCGTTAGGGGTAAATACTTCCTGGTCCCAGTTTTTATGTAAAGGATGTTTGCAGTACATGCAACATGTGAATCACAATTAACTGGATATGTTCAGAATTTATGTCAGTTTCTTCTTCAGGGCAGTGTTTTCTGTTTCACCAAGGAAACACAACATGAAACATCAGAATGCAGATTTTATTTTAATCACACTGGTATATATGCATCTCTCCCGATTCTGGTGCATACTAAGGTATGCAAGACAATTGGTAGATTTTGTAAGTTCCTATAACTGGTCACAACACAAAGAAAACACACAACAAAGATTGCAACAAGATTTCAATGACATTTTTATTGAACTTTTATTCTCTTACAGTATTTGTAACCCTACATAACCTTTTTCATTTATTTTGTTAATTTCTGTTTCATGTTCATGTATATGTGTATCATGTTCTGTTCGTGTTCACGTCTGAATCTGTCCTCACACTCATTCACATGGTCGGCTGAAGAAGAGTCAGTGTCAAAGCGTCAGTCACAAGCAAGCCAAAATCAAATACAAAAAGAAAAAAAAAGGACCAAAAAGGGATCTCAGGGTTATCCAGTATAGCATATATCAAATCTGCAGAAACACTTTCTACAGCCCTTTCCAATTCTGTCCTCACTCCCCACCTCATTACAAGTACGTGATCCATCCTGAACCATAAAACTCTGCTCTGTGGCACATATGAAACGTGCATAACTACCCTGTAAACTGAATTGGAATACATACAATAAGTGTTTAAAATATGCAACATAACAGCACAAACACCTTGCATAAAAGCTCTGTAAAGGAAACAGTAAAATAATAACACCAAGACGTATCGGAAATGGAAGCTAGACAGGAAGGAGGGAATTAAAACAGACTCGAAGGATCAGTATATGGATGTGGCTATTTTAAGCTACTGGCTGATCCTGATTTGTGGAATTCATGACCGAAGACAACGAACACTTCTGCAGTGTGAGAATACAACTATCAACACATGAAGTTAGTGCTACAACTTGCAACTGGATTTGTTCTTCCAAGTTTCTTGATTGATATGTAAGAAACAAACCTGTGCTTAAAATTCCACCAGATTTGTAGAATATTCCCAACCACTTAAACGAGAAGGGTGGATTTATCCTCTGTCCGCACAAATGGGGGGAGGTTTCTATTGCTATATCTGCATGGTTCATGTTTTCACAGTTTGATTCGGGAGGTCTGTAAGGAGATTTTTTTAACTAGAAATTCAGAAATTCCGCCAGTCAATTTTATCCCATCCTAATCCCAGTTGACTAATGTCAGTAACCCCCACTGACCACCAACATTCAAAGAAGACTGGAAAAAAAAAAATCTGCAAAGCTGGTGAACAGACTGTGGAAGTCTAATGACTGACCAGAGGTTCGAAAGCCCAGAAATACTTTGTGCTGACCATTCTGTGACCACAACCACTGAACTGAGACAAAAACCAGAAGAGCTTGCGATCGCTCGACATGGAAGAGCCAAGCAGGTGCTGCCCAAAAACCGTGGCTAACTTCTGCAGCATGCTGCCATGAAAACAGGGAGGTGCACCCTCAGCACGGCAGGTAAGGTTCATACAAAAACAATGACCAAAACTCCGGATACAGATACCATGGCTTCCATCACTAGCAGATCTGAAAACAGTACTACACAATAAATTAGAAAAACAGATCAACCCGACAATTAAATAATTCTGATCCAATATAAAGAATTTAGTGCAAGAACAGTAAAGGACACCACTTTTTTTTAAAAAAATGTAGCAGGTAATGTAACTTCATCAGTTAAGCAAATAAAGCAGCAAAGTTTGCACAAACAATTGTGCACATTCAAGTACAAAACAAGAAGTCATAAAGACCAAGAAGATACTCAGACAAACCTTCAGGGACTTTATTGGTCAGATTGGCACTTCAGTGAATAGAGGAGTGCATTACTCTTTTTTGTTCCAAACAATATTCTCACATTCTTCTTGTGGATATGTTTCCTGTTATTTACATCTACAGGTGCAAGTAAACTCTGGCTCGCCAATCCAGTAAAAAGCTCTCGGGCTCCACCCTAAAGCAAAAGGAGATGTTTTTCTCCATTCCTTCTCATTTAGACATTTTTATTAGTAACACACCTGTTGCTTAGTTATTATTTTTACATGCCAGTGTATGGCACTTTCTTGTAGAACTTTTTTTCCCCCCAAAATACCCAACACCTATAAAAAAAAATCCAAGACCTAGATGTATAAAAACATCTCATTTTCAAACAATCTGGAATATAGCCAATTGACAACGTAGAACTAAAATGTACAAAAACTGTCATTAAAAAAAAATATTGGAATATTAATAGATATTAAAAGGAAAACATGAAGATGGGGAACATTATCACAGGGCTGCAACCCAGCTGCATTTTTGCATAGTTAACAGCCTACACATCTGAGCTTTGAGGGCAGTTACTAAACCAGCAGAAGTGTCTTGTATCTGTGAACAGCAGCAGGACAGAAAAGCAAATGAGAAACTAGATTCTCACAGAAAGCACGCCCAGCTCTGCTGTAACGCACTGTGGGAGCTTTCTGAAAGGATGAGAATGTCTTGCAATATTGAATGATTCACTCTGGATAATCATTCAAACATCACACAGAAGGCAAAGGCAGCTGAACCTCTCTCACAAATATATGCATAGGTACAAATCACACCCTTAAATAACATACATTCATAAACACACACACAAATTTATATACATATGCGCACACACACGACATGCATCCTCTGAAATGTCTTTTATGGTCAGCTAAATCGGCCATTCCTTTTACAAAACCGTGCTACACTTTTTTTAGAATTTAGTTTTGACTTTCAGTTGCCTCAGATGTTTTAAATTGTGCTTGGAGTACAAAGCCAACATAAATTAAGCCTAGTAAAGATACGATAGTGGTACTTTTTCCTGCAAAGAAGAAAACCATTCTTAAGAGCGAGCCCTGAAAAAGTCAGTCCTTCTGCTGCAAACAGAGAACACATGCTACTGCTGTATCTACATCTCTGAAGCGTGTTCACACTCGAAAGGAACAAATTCTCAGTAACTGCACATCCTGATACTTGGGAGCTTACGGTAGATGGCAAAGCTCACAGGCATCTCTAGTACACAAATGTGGAAACAGACCTCTGCCTAGAACACAGCAGGCTGGGACAGTTTGCTTCAGTGGCATTGACTCAGAACAAGGCAAACGAATCCTCCAGCCTGGAGCTGGCCACCAATGAAACTGCCTGAAAACAGGGCCAGGAGCAGATGCATGGAAAACAATGAACCGGCCTGTCAAATCCAGTCCGAGGACTAGTCTATCAGCCCAGCAAGAGAAAAAACTGAACTCAGCTCAGCTTGGGACATGTGCTCTCTCCGTCAGCTGGGCTGTCTTAAATTTGAATAGCTCAGCTCCATGTCCACCTCTTCAGGGCAAGCTTCACGTGAGAAATGGCATCTCAAGACGTGTGTGGAAGACACTAGAAGGGGAGGCCTAAAAGCATGATCTCAACCTCGGCAATCTCCACCTCCCATCACCTGGAAGTCTCTCCGTGAGCTCGGCTGAGGTCCCGGAGACACAACAAGGACCTCCAGGGGAAAAACGCCTCTTAAACCCGAAGATTATTTGGCCGATTCTTAAATATTGCAGCCCTGCCTCAGAGGAACAACAGAAGAACATACATCGCTCCGTGTACCATCAGGTGTGGCAAGAAGGTGAAACTGACCTACTTTGCTTTTATAGCCCTCATTTGGAAAACAAGCTCAATTGCCCAGCAGATGTTCTTTAAATGCTCTTCTGGGTTTTGTTCAAGCCTTGCTCAAAGGACTAGACCGGAACAACCTTTAAGAGCGTTTTGCAGTCGTCACTGTAACACTCACTAATCCAAAGGCAACAATCTGCCGAGTGTGTGGATGAAACAGCAAAACCTCCCGTTATTAGTATTCTTCCCAAAGCCCAACCACCCAGAAAAGAAAATGCTGAATTTATAATACTTAGGATAAAATGCACACAAGGGCATTTGAACCAATCTGGAGTGCATTACAAGATACAAGTGTCAGTTTGAGACAAGAGCAGATTTTGCAAATCTGAAATGCTCGCCTGTGGAAGGGTTTCTCAGTATGAAAAATAAAAGATAGAGAACTGCAGCCCCCAGGGCCCCGTTCAGGAATTTAACAACGTCCTGAACTGTTGTTCAAGCCACCAAGATCACATGTCTTCTCTGTACTCTTGCAGGCTTTAAAAAAAAAATTCCCTTCGGGAGCTGCTCGGGCCTGGGGAGCTGCAAGGTTGAACCCAGTGGAAAACCGAGTGTATAGCCAGCCTCGCTCCACCACGAACACTACTCAGTGGCCGCACCTCGCTGCTGAGGCCTGCCACATGCCTAAAGGAGACATCTGCAACGCGGCTCATTGCGTAACCTCCTCTCGTGTACGAAGCGGACGCCGGAGGGAGCTGCCATCAGCTCCGGTGAACGAACGCGGACACTACAATCTCTCCCTCACACGTCTCCAGTCAGTCACAGTGTCACACCCACACCACTCGTCTGCGGTCTGCCTCCCCATCCACGGCAGAGGTAGAGAAAAACGCTTCCATAATCTCAGGGGAGGACAGAAACTGTTCTCCCTCAGCAATTGGAAAAAAAAAAAAACGAGTCACAGTATCTTTCGAGGTAATTACATTTTCATTTTTTTTAAAAAAAAAGCACAAACCACACTTTTGAAATTTGTTTTCCATTTATCAAGATTCTCTCCACCTAAACTCTCCTCTCTTCTCAGACTGAAGAGATTCTCCAATACCCCCAGATATGACGTGGGGTGTGAATTTTTCAGATGCTCCCTCCCACTCCCCTCCGCCAGAAAGAGAGCCCTAGTGCATTTAGTGACAAACTGCTAAAAAAAAAAACATATCTGCCAAAGTTAATAAAACCGCGTTCACCTTAATCAACTAGGAGCAACACTAAACTCAGAGCCCCAGAAACGTGCTCCTTTGGGTCTACATTATGGAAGCTATTTTCTTCTAGTACGATGCAGTAATGGCTAGGTGTGTGAAGTGTCTGCATGTGTGCAGTGGTGTGTGCTTGTGTGTTACATCGGTTCAGCTTTTACTTGTCTTAAATGTTAAGAACTTGTCCCTTGCCAAAGCTTGGATTTAGTCAGCTCATTAACAGAACGAGGAAACAACAACAACAACAACTATGGTAAGTCATGAATTATTTACAGCAAGAGCCTTGTTTTCTTCAAATTCAGACCATCACTGTCAAAACCGAGAAATTCTCCACTGCTTTTCTTGGATGTGCGTTTTCATCTGATGCCTATAAACCACTTTCTGCAAGTACTTGCAGGCACGTTGTTTCTCTTACAACTTCAATTTACAGCTACTGACTGTGCTCCTCTTCCCAATGGACATGCAAATAAGATCTGAACAGATCACAAAAGTTGCCTTACAATCATTTTAGAACAACATTGATGATAAAGTCTTATTCCGTTAACTCTGAAGATCATCAGGAAAAGGAAAACTGAATCCAGTAGCAGAGCACATTTTTCTAGGTAGTGGGGATTACTGAATTTAGCAGGACTTTATTCAGAAATCAGCAGATTGCAAATATGAGTTCACACGAATTCAGTAATAAGAATGAATAATCAGCTGCAATCATAAAAAACATCTTTAATTGTTCATGCGGTAAACTGGGACAACTTTGTGCACTTGTAGCTTAACCTTTTTTATGCCATATTAAGATTATTACACAAAGTCATGAGAGAGAAGTTAGTGCTTTCTATTGCAATTACTTCAACATTCAAACACCTATATCTTATCGAAATTTGGGAGTTTCCTACAAAATTAACTGAGCCGGTCTAATTCAATTTTGAGTCAACACTGCGTTTACTTGTTTTGCCAGACAAAGCTGCGTTGTCCTTTAAGACCACACAGCAGACACCACACCTCTGTGCATTCAAATCGATTTTCTTTTTTGTGCCCAAGTAGCCACTTTTTTCAACCACAAGAAATTCCTTGAAAAGTGCAGAATGTGTGCTGAGAAAAACGCATATTAAATTTCAAAGCAGTTCCAGCTTCTTTCTAGAAACTCTACCGATTCCTTCATTACAAGAACTACAGTTCCCAAGAGTCTGTGAAAGCTTGCACATGCTCCTTGATATCGATTCTGCCGATTGTACCAGCTAACAGAGCAGCAGTATCAAGCGTAACGGAAAACAAAACCCTGCGGACTTCCGAGAGCCAAGAGGAGGAACTACGGCGAAAGTGCACGTGCACCAACTATGAAATTTAATTTCTTCAATTCCCTTAAACACTAGTGCTTTTTCCTGCTCTTCTGCTAAGACAACACCAAGTCAAAAACACACACATTTCATATCTAAACGCAACACGCTGGCTCTGTAAGGTTTTCTTCGAGGTGGCTGACGATTCCATGTGCTCTACACCAAGAATTTGGCAAGGGAGGTAACACAACATCTTATATATTATAACACCATGCGAAAACCCAAAGTCACCCAGCTGACGCTGCCAGGCCTGTGCACCACAGCCTCGTATTTACATTACTCGAATTTGAAAACCGGAAAGCCGAATTTTGACTCTCACAATATATATATTTATATATAAAAAATAAGCTCAGTTTCAGAAATGTACACAATCTGTGGCTATAGCCTGCACAGCACCTGGTAACTCAGGCGGGAACTTTTTTCTTGCATTTTATTTATTGTTAATAATTACACGGCACACAACGTACATTTTATCACTACTTTACCAGCTTTTGGATAGCGGTTAACCTATATATATAGATGCTTTCCTTTCTAATCTTTCACAGGGTAGCCAAGACCCTGCACCCCCCCAGTACAAACCTGCTGTCCACACCCTTCCTCACACCGTCACTTTCAAGAAAAAAAAAAAGTTAAATTAAACCAAATCAAGTCAAGTCTTTCACCATTTCCCCCCCAAAAAAGGAAAAAAAAAGTTTGTTTTTCATTCAGAATCAGTAGCAAAAGAGCAAATGATTTGCCATTGATATTCAGTGCCAAATCTAGGACACGTATTAAGCTACTTCAGAAAGCACAAGGTCTGAAAGTAGGATACTGGCTCCTGGAGTATTAGCAACCGGGCTCACTGCATCTGCTGAACATGGATTTGCCAAAAAAAAATGTTTTGAAAAGATGCCATTTCTTAAAGTGGCTTAAAGAAATTGTAAAAAGTACTCAACCCACAGACACCAATTTTCTCTCAACGTCTAGTCTGCCATTACCCCCCGCTTGTCAGGCTGGGGAAAGAGCATCTCTCTTGGAAAAAACTGCCTGGTTTTAATGCTTAGAGTAACTACGCCAAACCTCCCCCAGCCTCAGAGCAGACGCTGTCCCCATCACGGAGCGCCGAGGCCCTCAGGATTAGCTTTGCAACCGAACCCCCCCCTCTCAGTGGAGAACCGGCACGTGGCGAGGCCGGCTTCTCTCACGAGACTCGACTGAAGAGAAAGAAACGGGGCCGCTGTGGGGGCCGCGCGGGGAGGATGGGGTTCCTCGCGGTGCCTCGGCTCTCTGAAAGCGGCGAGCTCAAGCAGCGTGCGCGGGCCGAGGCCCTGGTGGTCTAGGGGTCTGGCAGGGGGAGTGTGCGGGCGCCTCACAGGCCCGGTTGCCCAGCGTAGTGTTTTGGAGAATTATTGAAGTTTGACTTTTGCGGCGGCGGTGGTCTTGTTTGTTTGTTTGTTTGTTTTTTCGCGCGGTTCGGTGTCTCCCCCTCGGCCAGGGCGGTCAGAGCTGGAAGCCCTCCATCGGGGCCTCCTGCTGGGGGAAGAGGTACTGCTGCTGGCTCGCGTCCACCTGCGGGGCCAGGCTGGCGTCCTCCTCTTCCACGCCGAAGTAGTGCTCGATCAGGTCGAAGGCCTTCTGGTAGATCTCCTGGTTCTCGTGGCTCTGCAGGAACTCGATCTTGTCCAGCCCTGAGGGGAGAGAGACGTCCCAATTCCAGATTTGCCCAACACCGCAATTTATTATTCTTTCACACAAGTATCGGAGATCTAGTTCATCACGAGGGTTGCTCCTGACTAGATAAGTCTGCAGAACTGCTCACTTGTCAACAAATAAACAGAAGGAGGTGTGCAGCACCGTTTAATTTTTCAGCCAAGTCACCAATTTACTGTTTCTTTGTAAATAAAGGAACAAATACCCCACTTTTTGGCGTAAGACCATCTGCGTTAGTTTTTTTTTTTTGAGAGGAACCAACAACGCATGCTAAAGCCCATATTTCTCGCACAGGGCCCGTAGAGGTTTCTCCAACACGTCGAGGTCACAAGACCAGGTCCAGTAGAGAGGAAGCAGCATGCATAAAACTGTCAGAACCCGAAAGAGCAAGTGCTGATAAGAAGCTGAAGAGGGTGTGCAGGTGTGCAGACATACAGGCAACAAGCAGAAAGACAAACTGACGGACAGAAAAGCAGATTTACAAACAGGCCACCATAAACATCAGAGTCGGTGCCAACATCTGTGCCTGTTCCAGGAAAAGAACAGTCTCGTCACACATGCCACTCCATGAGGAGAGGAAAGAGGAACAGCGGATCGTCATTACCGTAGGCCTCCTCGATCAGGCCGCAGTAGGGGTTGATGCCTGTGCCGTTCTGCTTGGCTTCCTGCTCGCCGAGCCGCAGGATGTTCTCCAGCCCGTTCAGGGCCACCTGCACGATCTTGGAGTCCATGACAGTGAGCAGGTCGCAGAGCGGCTTGATGCAACCCAGATTCACCAGGTACCTGCGGAGACAGCCACTGTACAACCTGATCTGCTGTGCGAAAGCGCTCGTTCCAAATCAGTCTCCCTGCAAAGAGCCGGTATCTGTTGTATGTACGAAATTCAAACTGTACGTAACGTCCCTTGAAATTCAGTCTGTATGAGACCTGAGAAAGACAGCAGATGTCATGCTGTTGTTGATGGAATTAAGGAGCTCACCTGATCTGTTCTGGTGTTCCCCCCGATGTGGCGTTTGTGATCGCCCAGGCAGCCTCTTTTCTCGTGCGGAACTCGGCTTTCTGTAGTATGTCTATCAGCACAGGAAAGATGTTCGCATCTATGACAGCCTGGGATTCAGAAAGAAACAAGCGAACCCACTTAGCCTGCATAGCCATTCTGAACACAAGCCACACGCGATTCCTTCAGGGTGTCCGCTTTATGAAATGCAGAAGCAAAACAGCAAGGTAGTGCACCACAATGGGCCTCGAGACCTAATACGTCTGTGCACAGAGTATGACGATGGGGATTGTAAATGACAGCCCTGTATTGCCCTTCAATCTGTATCAGAGAGGCTGGTTACAGTCTTGTCTGCTACCTGTATCTGTGCTCTGTTTCCTGCTGTGATGTTGGAGATGGTCCAGCAGGCTTCTTTACGGATGGACTCCTTGGGGCTGCTCAAGAGGTGCAAGAGACAGGGCAGGGCTGAGCAGTTCAAGACCACCTGCACAACAAAGCACACAAGCAATACGCATGAATCAACAAGACCTTCTCTTCCATTAGCTTGCCTGCCCTCTCGTCTCTTCTAAGTCTAGTGTGCGAGCTGACTTGTTCTTATACCATGACTTTTAAATGGGATCAAAGAGAAAGGAATCCAGCCCTCAACTGGACATAACCTCTCACATGAACAAGTAGTCTACAAACACCGATTTAACAAACTACAGAACAAACGGTGTTGTCTTATAGAGCTTGGACATCAAAGAAAAAGTAAAATTGCTTAATTACCCCATATTCCCCTGTGTATTGGAAAAAAAGACAAGCCACAGCTCAATGCAGTGTGTGGGAGCCTGGATTCTGAACAATGACTTACCTGTGTCTGGATGTCGTCTCCTGTCACAATATTCCCTACAGCTCTCAGAGCCGGGGAAGCCACTTTGTAGTCTGTGTGCCTTGGGAGAGAAGAGAGCTTGGGAAGATTACTCAGGATTTGCTTAGCAAACATCACAGCCAGTACGTAGGTCTACTAGATACAAAGATCCATCCAGGACAGGCTCACTCTGCCAGCTCTCGAGTGGCTCAGCCGCTAAAGACACTCAAACGCAGATAGAGCTGTATGACACAGGATACGTGGGTTCGAGCCTGGTCATGCGCGCAGCCAACTGTGAGTGGGATTCCTCAAGCTGCGGAGCACCATTGGCTGAGCGATGCCGGGGCAGGGCTTGGTGTAAGTCAGCTCCCGGCAACACAGCGACCCCCTGCTTCTGCGAGGAACAGGCCTCTGTTCCGCTAAAAACACCTCACAAAGTGGTTTATCAGCTGCAGCATTTTACATTCAAACTGCCTTTTGATTCCTTCAAAACTTGTAATTAAGTGCCTTCAAATCGGCGCAAAACGTCCTGTACAGAGCTGTGCCGAATGGCTCCAAGGATGGTGGGGTGGATTACACTTCCCAGTTCTCCCTGCGTGTGGCGACTGGGAGCTGAGACACGCAAAACATTCCACAGCTGAATCCATATGGGGTGGATAAAAAAAAACAATACCTGCAATTTATAGAGTCAAAAAAAGGTACAACTGCGTGTTAGAAATCGTCTTCTCTTTCTGAAAGGGCTCCAGGAAGAGGATGCAGACATTCAGTGAGAATATAGAATGAGATGCAGGTGGATTCAGTTAAACGTGCAGCACTGCTGCAATAAAGAGGGCTGAAAAACTCAAACGCTGTGTCCAACTCTAAATTCCTGAGACCCAAAGCTTAATGTTTTCCCAACAGAAAACGTTCAGGATCTGCTTTAAAACGGACCCTGCTATTTCAGCATCGCTGAAAAGAGAAAGGGAAGGGACTAACCCCACACTGAAAACCAGCAGGCACCCACCTCCTTCAGTTTAGGCCATGACACTAGGGCCTTACCAACTTATCGAACACTCCTATCCAAGGGATACAATTTGAACAATTCAGGTGAAGGATCTTGTTCAGTGTCAAACAGCAATGTCTTGCCTGGAATTCGAACCCACTACCTTCCAGGTGCGAGCCCAGCACCCCACCCACAGTGCCACACTGCTGCCCCGGTCTACAGTGTCCTTCAGTGTCCTCCGATGGCCTATACATAGCAGCAGGAAATGAAGCCCGTCAACGGTGGGCAGCACCTACATCAACAGCTCCACCAGTCTCCTGCACACCCCCGAGTCAATCACGGCCTGGATCTTCTCATTGGGCCCATCGGAGAGGTAGGACAAGGCCCAGCACGCGTCGGCGAGCAAATCCGGGTCGCTGCTGAACAGGAGTCTGGACAGGACCGGCAGACAGGGGGACACCTGGAACACAACAGCCAAGGGGTCACTTTCTCCTCCTACCGCCACCAAGTCCGCTGAAAAGCCGCGACAGGCGACATGCCTTATGCTCATCTTCCGCGGGCGGTTTGCGGGATTAAGGGTCGAACCAAACAGTATGCACCCATATACACAGTTCCAAAAAACAAGAAGCTTTTTATTCTATCCAACCCAACATCCACTGTGACCAAACTGGGAATCAAATGCTGAAACGAAAGCAGAGCAGTTCAGAACACAAATTCATAACCAACACGGAGCTGGAATAAACCTTTTTGCAGATAAAGATTCTGTTATACGTGGATTTGGATGATCATGGTAAAATTAACCAAAAGTCGATAAAATCAATTTATTTTTAGAAGATCAAGAATGTTTCAGAATTTTAACTACAGCTGCATTTCTAAAGAAATGTGCTTTACTTTTCTTTGATTCTCTGTGACTGATATATATATACTGCATTAGTCTATAGCAGATATATGGACTAATGCAACAGGCATTTCTGGACCAGGCGTACGCCTTTCACTGAGGCACTCTGCAATCCAGAGGAGTGGTCCGGAGAGCAGAGCACAGAGTGTGCCGACAAGCTGCCTTGCAGTGGTCTCACATAGCAGCCAATTAAAGCCTTGCTGTTCACGGCTGGTTACTGTGGAAACCACTAGTGTACGCATGCCTGACCCTAATGGGGAGGGATTGCACAGCAATAAAAGCCCACCCTGGGCTTTCCAAGAAACTCAGCTGGTAAGATGATCATTATATGACTGCAGGGGTTCGAGTCTGCACTACTGCAATAAGATGGACATAACATGCATCCTTTCCATCAGAGGCCAAGACATATCCAAACACCACCTGATCTACGTGTGGTGTGTAAGAGCAAGCCCTGTGGTATGCTGGCTGCCTGTGAGTCTGTGGTCTGGCTAAACCAATTGACAACTGCTGCACGTGCAGAGGGTACACAGGAGGAAGAACAAGATTCCCCATGTGTGTTCGCTGAAAAGCACGTGAACAAAACCCCAATTGGTTGTGTGACAGCATGATAACATACCTTCTCAAAGTCCGGGGGCGGGCTCTTCCCCCTGCACAAGTTAGAGAGGGCCCAGACTGCGTTCCTGGTCATCGTCAGCCGGGTAGATTTGGTCAGCAACCTTAAAGAAGGACAACCAGGGGTCAAACGCACCTTCACCCACCACGCCTCATTTCACTGAGAGGTACAGAAGAAGCAGGCAGCATATTTTGACCGTAGTTTGCAAAACCACAACAAATACGACATAGCTACTTGCCAGGCTGAATCATTCAAGTAGGTTTATATCCTGAGTGCATATAATCACAGCAGAAACCGAAGCACTTTTCTTTCCCGACGGCCCATGTACTTACATTAATAGTGGTGGAAGGATGTTGCAGCTCAGTACGTAGTCTCTACACACTGCGCTGTCTCCTGCGATGTTTCCTAGAGCCCACACGGCCTGAAGATGCAGGGAAACTCCGCTTAAGTTTTCAGTTCAGTATAACTTTGAATTTCTCATCAATTGGCTAAAGCACAGCTACAGCTATTTCAGCCAGCCAACGCTGAAGAATTACCAGCTGTTGCTAAGATGATGCCCAATGCTGCCAGCACCTCCACAGTGCCCTCGGTACCTAAACCCTTCACAACAAAACCAGCTACAGAAGCCAGAGGTGTGACACCTCTGAGATGTAGAGGCAAGAGTTTTAACGACTGAAATCACTCGATCGCCCGGATCCCCAGAGCACGGTACAGTGCGGCGGTGGCTGTTCACCTGTTCCTGCACGTCCTCGAAGTCCGAGTTGAGCAGCTCAATGAAGATGGGCACAGCCCCCGCCTCAATCACGATCTTGGTCTGCTGCGAGGTTCCAGACGCAATATTTGTCAAAGCCCAGGCAGCTTCAAACTGGGGGGGGGGGAGACGTTACAAAGTCAAATATTAGATAAAAGTTGTATTCCCCCATGGGTCTGAGGTTAAAGTCACACTGTCCAGTAGATTTTTTATTTTGTTCTGAAAAGCTAATAGTTAAATTACGAAAGAATTACGAGGATGATATTCAAACACTACCTACCAATTTGTTTTAATGATGAATTTACTTTTCTGAATCATTTAACAATTAATCAATCCATTTTAATCGCTAAAATTATGACTTGTTCTTAATGGGAAACCAGGATGATTATATTCAACGACAGAGGTGCAAAAACTGTACTTAAGAGAACAATCAGATCTACTCTAAGTGGACACAGGGGCCAGAACAGCCCTTTTACTGTCTGTCCTCAAACCTGAAGGAAACCACAAGTGACACCAAATCACACGACAGCCCCACACCTGTAATGTGCAGTTGACACTTTTTTTCAGAAACTCCACAAACCGCTCCACAACCCCCGGTGTGTTGATAACTTCATCGATTGGCGGGTTGGGTTCTGTAAGAGAGCACAAGAAGTGGGAAGAATGAAGGGCAGAGCCCAGGAACACACCGGCTCCTCACATGGCTCGACATGGAGCAGGGCACTGCTGTGTGAGAGGAAGATGGGGCTCCCAGGCCTAGCCCTGGTGACCCCCACAACAGCTGTTTTTTTAGCTAAACAACCACTTAACCTAAACAACAAGGAAGCTTTGCATTTTGTTTCTGATGGCAGGTTGCATGCAGATCTTGAGTTTCTTATGAAACCCTTTAGTAAACAGGTACTTCCTACAGGCTTAGAAACTGAACCCAGAGTTTAAAGTAAAACTAGGTTTAGGTCTATGAAGGGCTGAAGAGCTAAATTATTTAATGCAACACGAAGGAACAGGTTTGTGGGCTCCCAGGACCAGGACTGGGAACCGCAGGTTTCGGTAGTATGAACAAGATACCTTTCGACAGCAGCTTTCTGAATTTCTGAGTTGTTGAGAGCTGGAGCTCAGGGTCCTCTGAAAAGAGCATCTCCACCATGTCTCTTGTGATGACTCCCTCCTGAAACCACACAGAGGACAAGTTCACCCCCGACTAGGGAATGCAACACACAGGTTCATCATACTGGCCAGCGAAGGAGGAGCTGAACAGAAGCCATCTCTTCCCTCTGAACCTCTTCCACATCCTGTTACAGAGCCGCTTCACCCAGACAGTCTCCAGAACCGAACCACTGGTCCAAGTGAAGCCTGCCGGGCACTGCCACTCACCCCAGGTGTGGTGGAGCTGACGAAGGAGTCCATCAGAGGACTGTCGAACACTCCCGCCTCGTCATTCAGCATCTCCACGTTTCTCCTCTTGAAGAGCTGAGGAAAGTGGGGAAAAAAAGTCTTGAGATGAAATAATCTGCACTATTAATGTGATGCAACATTTTGTGATGAAAGTATGCCAAGGATTAGCAAATGCGCTACTTTTCTTAGACAGCTGGGCTAATGCACACGTTCACATTAAAATTGTCCATCCCAATTTCTAGTATTCCAATATCAGACCCAACATGCCCTGCAGGATCTGGATAAACCGCTGATCTCATCCCGGATTGTGCCAGGAGACACAGTCTAGGTGAATTTAGAGTCCTACCCAGCCAAGTCCCCAGGTCAGGCCGGACCTTGTGTTGAACTCCTGTTTTGACACATGTGGTAAAAGAAAACAAAGAAACTTGGAATTCAAAGGAAGGCTACCTGCTGTTCTCGTTTCTGTTTTCTCAGCTGGATTCCCTCTTCCTCTCTCCTCCTGCGCATCTCCTCCAGGTTCAGTGCTTTGTTCTTGTACCGGTTCATTCTGTAATTATCTTTCGCGGGACTCGCTGTGGTTTCTGTCAAAAGGCAACAAAGGACACAAACGCTCAGACACCTGAAGCCCTCGCCCTGTATTTATAGATTTGCACATTGGATTGAAACAAAAGCAGCTCTGCAGCTGCTAATCTGCAATTTCATGAATCTTTTCACTAACTGATACCCAAAAATCAACACGGCTATTTCATCACCACACTTTTTCACCACATCCATGCAGATCACCTTCCCAGGAATCACCTGTTGTCCAACGTGATGTATCCCTCACGTGGTATTTCCTGCTTTCCAAGGCAGAACGGGGCAGATACGTTCCACAGGTTTATCTTTCAATTCACCCTAATTCCTGTCTCGGTTAGCTTGACCAAAGAATTCCAGGGGGAGAGTAAGAGGAGGCACACTGAGGACAGACGCATGAAGAACAGGGCAGCTGACTGACGGGAGAAGAAACTGCTGCGGTTTCCAGCAAGTGTGAGCCTGCCTGCCTGCAGTCCCGGCCAAGGCCGAGTCACAGCGGGGAAGCTGTATTCACAATAGCTCGCCTGGCCTGTACTTCCAAAAGAAGAGCCCCTCAAATGAATAATGAGGCCCTTTGTTTTATCTGTTCACAAAGTTAAAACAGCATGTGCATTCATCAGAAGTGCCAGAGTCAGTAACTGGAATGTAATATTAATCTGCAGTGAAGTAAGTAAGGGAGATGTGTGAGTGCTATATTCAGCACTGAGCACATCAGCTACAGCAGACAGTGTACTAAGAACAACAGAAAGCAGGAACACCGTGTTCCCTTCTAGACAATCTTTCTAGGAAACACTCAGGACACGCACAAAAGAAGAAGTATGCATCTGTGAGCTGAGGATATGAGGGTATTTCTCAAGAACTGAGCCGGTTTATTCTCTGCACGGTCCTTTCCGATTACAAAAAGCTGTGCCCAATGTAGCTGCCTATCAGAAAGAGGAAGTGGCCCATTGCTTCCAGAATAGAACCCAGACATGGCCAAAGCCATAGAGGCCGTTCTCGTGACAAAAAAAAACTGAACAAAAAAATTGAACTGCCCAAAATATAAACAGTCATTGATGATACTTCTGAGATTTCCTTTCCCTACTTGACAATTGTTACATCTCATATTTGTGACGGATCACAATGTTAAACCCCATACTACACAGCAGCCTGTAGGTCCCTGTGCAGAATCTACCAGGTCAGGGATGTCCCTACATGCACAGGGGTGCAAACTCCTGTTTTTTGCCTTTTTTCTTCATCAAATCCATTTCTATATTATCCCGCAACATATAAAACCTGAAAGTTAAAAAAACAAGGGAAATGTCTGCACCTGAGGAAATAAATATCTTAAACGCACTCACAATGGGCTTGAAAGCAAAGCCGAATGCTGTTTCCGGTTGTGACAGGTGACAGGCCTAAACGCTGTTTATCAAGCGCACAGCTAACGTCTGCAAAATCAGTCCTTCGGAGTGTGGAAAAACAAATGTGAAATCCTGACCACTTCACAGCACGTTAGCCTAAAGACTGCTGTAATGACCACAGACAGCACACTGGGCTGAATCACAAGTCAGTCACTTGGCAAAGAGAACAAATAGCTTTATTCACAGATAATCACACGGGATGAGTTGCATAACTCATAACATCACTTTATTAGCGTTCGAGAGCTGGGAATGTCTGGGCTTGATTGATGAGGTTAACACTTAATGCCTAAGCCAGGCTCTCTTTGAAATCAACTCTTTGAGCACAATTTAACAACAACAACAACAACTTCACTTTATTAGCCCAATACAATTTCTTGCATTAGGAATTCGTATTTTCGCATACGAGACACACAGACAGGGAGAGAAGCTGGGGGTCAGAACGCAGGGTCAGCTGATGTACAGCGCCCCTGGAGCAGTTGGGGTGAAGGGCCTTGCTCAGGGGCCCAACGGAGTAGGATTCCTCTGCCGGCTGCAGGATTCGAACCGGCAACCTTCCAGCCACAGAGCCACTGCTCTGCCCTTACTCTCGGCGTCCACCCTCAGCTTTAGTGCGGGCAGGCAAACGCCCAGCCAATCGTGAATCATCCGAGGATTGCTCAGAAGAGTGAGGCCAGGTAGCATAGTTACTTTGCAACAGGATTCCAAATTTGTGTCTAGGTAACCGTGACTCAAGCAAGAACTTTAACTGATGTCAAACAGACTTACAGAGACAGGTACCACCAAAACCTTAAGCTACGGTACGTGGTACCCTTGTAGTGTAAAAACAAGGAACCTTAACTCCCAGCACCTCTGAAACCTCAACAGACCCACTACTTCAGAATGAAGCTTTTTAATACTCTGCCTTTTTGAAACCAACTCAAATCAGACTCTCTCATGCCACAAGCTTGACAGTGCATTTAAAGAAAGTTGTAAAAGAGGTAAAATGTAGAGATTAGGGTTGTGTGAAATGGAAAAATGTAGAATCTGGAACAGAATTAGACTGTTGTGATACAGGACTTACTTGATCAGTAATCTTTGGACTGACTTCACAGCTGGAGCATACTGTGGCACAGCATGTCTGAACTCAAGGCTGTTCACCACTTTATTTGTTGTAATTAGTTAAAAAAGTGGCATACTCGTCAGAATATCGAACAGCTAGATCTGCTTAAATTAGTGTACTGGATTAGCTAAAACAGAGGGCACCAATTCCTAAGCCTAGGATTTCAGGCAGTCCCCGATTTCTTCTAGTGATGCAATCAACTCTCCCAAGTGCTGAAGAGACCCGAAACCATGAACAGCCTGTGATATCTGATAATCCCAGACTCCAGATGGTAGAGCTGCAGGCTTCAAAAATAAAACGTTATGGCTTCGGTACAGATATTACATGCATATCACTAATTTTAGAAATTATCACGTTATTCTGGCCTTGGGTAACCAGGGATGCCTCCTTGTGTCGAGTTTAACCCAGCTTCAGCGATCCCGTTTTAGTTCTCTGGTCACATGGGCCTTGCAAAAAAAAAGAGAAATGCTCGGCATGTCAGCCTTACTATTCTGGATGAGTGCTCCTGGCTCAGCCTCAGCGGCTCTGCCAGGGGAAGATGCAGGAGCCCTTGAAGCTCCCACATGGGAGCTGCCAGCTCCTCCACAAGAGGAGGAAGCCCAGCAGGCACACTGTCGGAGGCTCAGTCAAGCAGAGGAATCCCTGCGACCTGCCCTGCGCCTGCTTCAAGCGAAAAAACAACAGTACTGATGGGCAGACCGAACGAGCCTCTTGCCCCGAACGCTTCTGTAGCCCGCTCCTGGCTCATGTCACTGCCTGACTGGCCAGGGCTGTGCCAGTGTGCCACCTGAGAACGATGAGCATGAGCAGGCACAGGCCTCATTCCACCCAAAACAGTGACTCCTGCAGGTCTGCAGCCTCTCCAACTGTGCGGCCAGATCAGCTCAGGCCTGAGTCTCCAAAAAGGCCAGTAATCCTTTCGGTTCAAATGCACTGTCTCAGCTCTCCTAAACTGCAGCAGCACCATAAAGAATATTTTAATGCTCTTTCTGCTGAGGTTCTACCATTGATTCATTTCTGCACACGATTCAAGTCAGTGGTTACCGATTATTAATTAGCTTCTGCAGCCACACGCTGCTCGTCTGGAAGACAAACGCTCTTTTTTTTGGGCACACAGCAGAAAGAGGCTAATCTATTTACAGTGCTTTCAATTTGGACTCCCAGCTCATGGCCCTGCATGTTTTATTAGATAATTAGTTAAAGATAATCTGCAGAGCCTGCAGGCTAAAGTACCACAGTTCTTTTGAAATAAACTGTTTACACCAAGAGTTGTGAGAGCAGGGAGCAAGTTGCCCAGCCTGTTCTAGAAGCCAATACCCTGGCTTCTTTCAGGAAATATATGGATGAGATTCTAAAAAAATCTATTAATTGCAAACAACCAGAATCGGCTACATGGGCTGAATGGCCTCCTCTTGTTCCTGATCACTGCCATGTTGTTAAATACGGGCTACGACTATCTCTTTCAGAAAACGCATTCCCTTACATACACCAGAATGTGCACGATCTGACTGAGTAGAAAATGTCCTGCCGCAGTGCTTGTAGAACATCAATTTCTGAACTTGCAGGGGAACCTATTATTTACTTACTATAAACAGGACATGCATGGGCTGAAAAGAAATTCAGAGATCTTTAAGAACGGAAATAAGAACGTCCTAAAGCCTGCCCAGAATCCGAGCTGCTCTGGTCAGTTACATGATCAAATCAGCTCACTAAATTGATCCTTGAAAGGTGACTTCCAACAGGCTGGACTGTGGTTCTTCAAGATCACGCCTGCCCATCACAGAAATTGCTGAGGGCCTGAGCAGCAGCAGGTCCTGCAGGACAGTGCTTCATGTCTGGCAGGAAGAAACCGAGTACCTGGTGTCCTCTAGCAGGGCACGTGAACAGTGCTGCAAACACACACTTGTTCTGCACAAGCTCTGGCAGAAACCAAGTTCTGCCTCAGATTCACAGCCGGCCAAGCAAATCAGGGGTGAAGCCAAGTGGAAGAAACGGGTCTGTTTCTGTCACCATTTCTCTGCGGCAATAATTACTGCCTTTTGCCCAGAAGTGCCATCAGACACCCCTTAAAGTGAAAGATCACAGATTTTAAAAAGCTGGACCTAAAACATCCTTTGTTCTCCCTGTGGAAGACATCTGCTGAAAATGTGTTGAGAGAAGCCAGGGTTCCAGACCCCCACAACACAGTCCGTAAAGTGAGTGCTTTCTGTTCGCAGTTTTAAATGTTCACACAAATCACTCACACCCGCCCAACAAAAACGCACAAATTTGCTAGTAGTTGTACAAGCTTATTGTACACACAACACTGCCATAAGAAATCAGTTCTCTCAGACATGCTGTTATGATACTGTCAGACATGCTGTTATGATACAGTAAGAGGCAGCTATTAGCTCTTTAATAGAGCTACTAACTACCAAACAATTTAGATGGGCCTTATACCTCGTTAAAGCATTTCCCATGCCTGTAGTTTAACTGTGACCCTTCAGCATGAGCACCTGCATCAGGCCCTGCAATGCACAAGGCCAAGCTAGGAGCTACTGCCTCATTGCCATTTGTTGTCCTATGTACAGACAAACCTGTCAAAACTACTCGTTTTACAAAGGCAGGGGAATGAATTAGAAAAGCAATTTAAAATGGGGCTAGTGCATGACATAAAATGTCGTTCTGCAGATGCTAAAGCAGCTTGAGAGAAATTGGGGGTGAACTGGTGAACTGTGCATCAGCAACTAGTCCATTAGTATCACTTACAGCAAGATAACGTTTACATTACAGGTTGATGCAGAGTCAAAGCGGAGTCAATCAGTTGCAGAGATGAAGCTGGACCCAGGAAACCCATCTACCTTATATCCTGGAGCACTTTGCCTCCTGCAGTCTACCAACTTGTCATCCCCACAGGGACTGAGTCAACCAGAACCAGGACTTTCTGATACTGCTGAGCATGTCAGCAGCATCTTTTGA